AATCAATGGCTTTATCCACTCGGCAATCTATACCCTAGGAACACAAATCGGAGAAAACCATCAATGTGTAACAGAGGCCTATAAATCAGAGTGCCAGGTGGGCATCGTTCCATTTTAATAACTAGTATTTAGAGATTATTGGATCAAACATCCCAAAGAAACAAATGTATGCTCTTTATATTCCTCTAGGATGCCACCACATCCCCGTGGGAATCTGAAAGTCTTAGTTCCTTTCTCATGCTGGTCATAGAAAGGGCCTTCTTTTTCCAAGCGTGCATAGCTCGGTATGTGCAAAGAGGCTTTGCTTCCATGAGACCCTACCTCAGGAGGGCCCAGCAGGTCACCCAGTTTCTCTCTGTGGATATCTATGTACATGACTAGGGACTCTTAATCCACAAGAATCAATACAAACAGCAAGCAAGCTGAAATGCAGGGGGATGCCACTTCTCAAGAGCTCCTTCCATTGCTTTTCTCTTCCCTGCTTCAAGCAGATCATTCAGAGAGGTTTGAAGTGCGTGGCTTCATTTCTTAGCTTTCTTTGGAAAACTCCTGAGGGTCCTTGTGAAAGGTCAGAACCAGGGGCAGCTTCATCAGTGGAGGCTGAGAACCTTTTGTGCAAACAAATCTGTAGGCCAACTCATCAGCCAGTCCTGTGTGCCTCTGCTGGAGAGAGCTGCCCAGGAGCAAGGCAGCTCAGGAGGGATTCTTAAGGAGCCATCAGCCCTAAGTAGGTACACGTGGAATGGGCATAGATAGGCAGTGGCACCGTTGAAAATGTAAACTTGGTTTTCCCCTAGAAACAGCCATCAACCTTTAGAGTCTGTAAGAGAAAGCAGATCAAAAACATTCCAAGAGGAGGCTGAGGGCAGGAATGTCATCTCACTGGCAGGCACAGGAAATAGCGCCTGAGATGTGTTTGAAATAGTGCCTGAGATGTGTTTCCCTGAAATGGGAAGGAAAGGCAGCTGAGAGCAAGGACACTGAGTGATGCAGGAGAGAGCAGTGACAGGATCCGCCATCTGAAATTCAAATTCAACATCTGAAATTCACCCTCAAACCATTCCATCAGCAAACACCATGCATACATTTACACTAAAGAATGGCAAGTATCAGAATCTGATTTTCCCCACCCCCTGCTTCTGGGAAGTTTAAGATCTACATACGCTCAGACATTCAAGAATTCCTGTATAAACCAAGGGTGCACCTTCAAAGTCGAGGCCAGCAGAAGCCACCAAATAAACAGAGTCTAATAGGTAGAACGTAAAGTGCAGCGTGAGTGGTGATCTACTCTCTGGCCATGAGTGTGGTTTGGTGAGTAATTAGAATGGTAACAGATGCATAGGAGCGGAGCGAGCCAGGAAGACAGATCCCACTTTTCTTTCCCAGTTGTACAAAGTCACGCCCCTCTGATTCTAAATGATCCCTCTTCCCAATGAGTCCATTTTCATAGTTAGCATCAAAGAGCTCACATGGAATGTCCCCTGGTATTTTACATAATTTTTCCACGGGCTTTCCCACTTTCTCTTGACCATCCTCATATATGCGAGGTCTATCTACCACAGATACATCTGATTGACTTCATAAGAGCCCTTTCTCAAAAGGCAAGAGAATAAAGTCTCAGATTTCACAGTAACTAGAATGTTTCTTCAATTATGAAAGATACATTTCAAAAAACTGAGATGATTATAGTTTAATTCTTCTGAAAGTATGATTCATAAGTCTACCTTTAGTTAAAATTAAAGAAAGATAAGTTACATGATTTACCCACTTTGATTAAACTCTACAGAGTGTACCTCTTCATTGAAATAAAGGCCTTGTTTCTCATTTTGCTTTTCAATAATTTTCTGCCTGAATTTCTGCTTTCCTCATCAAGGACTTTTTTCACAGCTTTCCACTGAACTCTTGTTTTCTTCCTTTCCTGCAAGCTTGGCTCCTGTCAAACTTCCCCAAGCCTCTTGTCAAACCCCAGAAGTAGTTCACTTTTGGACTAAGCAGAAGACCTTAGCTATTTATATAATCTACATCCGCTGAGAATAAAAGCCTTCCTTAAAAGTGGAAACCTCTGCCCACCCCTTAGGCCACAGGCTTTCCTGATTTCCCAAGGAAAGCAGCAGTCAGCCAACCTCCTTCTAGCCTGCAATCTTCAGGTCTGGAAACAGAAGCCTGGTCACCATTCCAGCCATCCTTCCCAACATACACTCTTCCTACAAGCACCTGATATGCAGCTGTGATATGCCAGCTATTCTAGGCACTGAGGCACAGCAGTAACAGATTACTTTTTAAAAATCGCATCCCTATATGGGAGATACTCCTGTGAAACACATCCACACACACCACACACCCAACTCACTGCCATCGAATCAATTCTGACTCACAGAGGCCCTATAGGACAGGCTGGAACTGCCCCTCTGAGTTTCTGAGACGCTAACTCTTTATGGGAGTAGAAAACCCAGTCTATGCCTGGTAGCTTTGGACTGCTGACTTTCAAAACACAGGCCACCTCAATTTGAAACCTAGGAAATTGAGCCCATATCAGACATAACTCATGGAAATCCCTATCAGGTCTGAGAGCCCTTGTCCCTGACACTTTTCATGACACTCAAAATGACTAGGTGGAGAGGGGACCTGAGGAAACAACACAGATCTATTCATTATAACAAGACTGGTGTTTAGTCGGCCTTTCTGCAGTTTTGTTTTTTCCCTGAAACTTTGTCCTTTATTTGTAACCAGTATGGAAAGGACATGGGTGTGGGTATGTATGTACGGAGGAGACACACAACTCTATTTTGAACTATACCATTAAGTGGTTCTTAAGGACAGGAAAGTTTACATGTATTTGCATTATGAGAAATGTGTTCATTTAACCTTTGTATCAGAAAGTTTAAAATATGAATTCACACCCTTAGAGTATGCTTTTAACCATAAATCAATTTTATTGACTCTTTGATCAAAAATTGGAAAACACAAATTCCCATCATTAAATATTCATTAAATTCGTGTTGTTTTTATCTGTCGAGATTCCCTGGGTAGCCCAAGGTATACATGGCACGGAGGCACCCGTAGAAGCAGGGCACAAGTAAGGTGAACAGACGTCCCGCTTTTGGCGGGACAGTGCCGATTTTTAACAATTTTTCCCACATACCGCGGCATTTTAAAAAAGTCCCAATTTTTGGAAAGAATGCACGACAAGCTAGGGTATACAGTTTTCAGCTGCCATGTGCCTATTTCGCCAGGATATGAGTTTTATCAATGGTATCCCGCTTTACCAATGTTAACATCCGGTCACCTTACACAAGTGGGGTACACACATTTGCTGACCCCCAGCATTCCTCTGGAACCGACCCACCCGCTGCAAGCACACATGACAAGCCCCTGGTCTAGCTCCAGCCCTCTGGTACTGAGACCCGAGAAGACGAGGCTGTGTGCTGAAAGCCACACATCCATTGAGTGATCCCGCAGACACCAAGATTCTGCCCTCTGACTTCACCTTCTTTCCCTTCCATTCTTTTCCAGGGAAATGTGGGGCATCTGGTTAACTGGCTCTCATGTTCTGATACTCATGTCATTGTCCTCAGGCCAATCCTGACTCGGAGTGGAACTGTTCCTTTGAGTCTCTAAGGCTGTAATCTGGATGGGAGCGATGACCACATCTTTCTCCCACAGGGCAGCTGATGCGCTTCAACCACCAAGATTTCACTTCGAAGCTGAGTGTTTTCACTCATGGGCCACCAGGTGTTCTTGCTTTGCTTTCTGAGACAACTTGAAGGAATAATCTGGGTGTGTTCAAAAGTGTAGACTCTTTTAGCTCATGGCATAATGTTACACTGAAGGCAGCCAGGGTAAGACTTCGCTCTCAAAAAACTCAGTGCCATAGAGCTAGAGAGAGTGGGGGGAGGGTGGGGGGAGTGGAGGGGCGGTGGTGGAAATAGTGAAGGGGTCATGTCCCTGAAGAGCTCTCCTCACTATTGGATGGGGGCGAAGACTGGCTGGTACACTCTTGCCTAAGGATGCCTTGTTTAACACCAGGGCTTGGCAAACTCAGCCTGCCTGTGTAACTGTCACCCCCTGCCTCCTTTGACAAATCCACAACCAACATCATGGTGTGAATCCCACCAGCCCCCACAAGTCTTGCCCTTAGGAGACCTGGTGGCCCAGTGGTTAAGCATTAGACTGCGAACCCCTAGGCCAGCAGTTCAAACCACCAGCCCCTCTGAGGGAGAAAGAGGAGGCTTTCCATTCCGGTAAAGAGTTATGGTCTGCAAACTCACAGGGGCACTTCTACCTGTCCCAGCGGGTCACTGAGTCGGCATTGACTCGGTGGTGCAGAGTTTTTTGAGAGTGAGTCTTGCCCTGACTGCCTTCAGTGTAACATTATGCCATGAGCTAAAAGAGTCTACAGTGTTGAACAAAGAACTAAGCTGGGCCATGCTTCTGGTTGGTAAGGGAAGCTAATCAAGGCTTGACAAGATGTCTGACTAGACACCAGAGGATTTTCCAGGTCTCTGCCCTGCTGTCCTCTTCCACTGACCCTTGGGCTCTTTTGCGGTGGAATTTGGGTGGCAGCAGAGAATCCGCTGACCTCCAGGAGGCCAAGAGAGGGAGGGCATCTGGGTTCAAGATAACTTGCTGTACCTCACTTATCTGGACAAAGCTTCCTGGTCTGTGGGAGCCGCAGCACACTTCCCCCTGCCTGTCACCGATAGACCTCTGGCCAGCCGCCTTGATATTCCCACCGGGCAAACCCGCAGCCTTATCGAGCCTGGAGGGATGACTGGGCCAGTTCAGAATGAACTCTTCCTGTTCCAAAACAAAGAAACCACAAAGTCTAGGTTTCTAACGCCTCTCTGCCTCTCTCCCTCTCTCTCTCTCTCTCTCTCTCTCTCTCTCTCTCACACACACACACACACACACACACACACACACACACACACACACCCCAGCAGTTCAGGGCCCTTTGAAATGTGTGATTCATGTGAAACCTGCGTGTTCCCTCCTTTCAGGAAGAAAATGAGATCCCTGCCAGCGTGTTTGCCAAAAGGCCGGCTTCCAGCCTCGGGGAGGGCTCGGAGGCGCCGGCGGAGGAGAACAAGACCTTGGAAGACACCTTGCACACGGTGGACCTCTCCTCCGAGGACGACGAGGGCTTGGCCGACAGCGCCGACGAGAAGCTGGAAGCGAGCAGGGCGGAGAAAATTAAGCGATCCAGCCTCCAGAAGGTGGACAGTCTCAAGAAAGCCTTTTCCCGGCAGAACATCGAGAAAAAGATGAACCAGCTGGGCACCAAGATTGTGTCGGTGGAGAGGAGGGAGAAGATTAAGAAATCTCTGGCTTCCAATCACCAGAAAATCGCCTCTGGAAAGAGCTCCCCCTTCAAGATGTCTCCCCTCAGTTTCGGGAGGAAGAAAGTCCGAGAGGGAGCGAGCCCCGCGGAGCCCGAAGAGCGGCGGGGCAGTGACCAGCTGCTGGACGACCACGAGGACAGCTCGGTGACCGAGGGCCCTTCGGAAGCCTCCCTGGGGGGAGAGAAGCAGGCCGAAGGGGAGGCCGAAGGGGAGGCCGAGCGGGAGGCCCCGGGAGGAAGGAACTCGGGCAGAGGCAGTAACGTGGACTTGGCCATCGTGGAAGATGAGGAGGAGGAGGGGGCCGTGGGCCTGGAAGACGCGCAGAAGATGCGCTACGGAGATAGCTACCCAGGAGCCTCCGAGGAGACCGAAGAGGAGCCCCGGCGCGCGGCTGTGCTGCAGGGGGACCAGACGGCCTGAAGGATCCCAGACCCGGCGCCCGTGCATCTCCAGCACTGCCCACTCAAGGCCACGTGCGTGCCCAGGCCGTCGTCACCGAGTACCCAGTGGCAGCGTCCACGTGGCCAAGATGTACCAGGAAAGCAACGCGTGGGGATGGGGAAGCCTCGCTTCTTCCTGAATTGCTCTTAGGTCCTATTTAAGGAGAATTTCTCCAGGAGGAAGGAATGGCACTGTTGGAAGTGGCTGATCAATTTGGCTTAGGACAAAACAGATCATTAAAAACCAAAAGAACCCATTGCCATCAAGTGGATGCTGACGCAAAGTCACCGGAAGACCTTAGTCTTTCCTAGAGCGGACTTCTCCTCCTCTCATAGACCAGCTGCTGAGTTTGCAGCTCAACGCTTAACCCATTCCACCACCAGGACTCTGTCAATTTAAGTCATAAAATGTGATTTGTGGATGTGTGTGTGTGCGCGTGCGCGCGTGTCATCCCATAAACTTGTACCAGTAGCAGTGGATTTCCACAATAATCTGTGAATCTAATTATAGTCTTTAAGTGTGTGCTATATAATATATACATATATTAAATCTAAAGCTATAACTACTTTATATTTTAAGAAAAAACATTTACAAAAGTTAGGAAAGATTGTTCAATTGGTTATTCATTTAATAGAAACATTGCTTGTTTCAAATGAAAATTTGGAAGATGAAATAACTCACTATGAAATAAGACATACATGAGAGTCAGTATTATTAGGGAAAAAATAAACTAAGATGAAAAAATGCTTAAAAGCAAACTATTTACAGCATTAGTATTGTAGTTCACTGTTTGATAACAATGTTAAACAAGTTCTTGTATCTTGGAATGATACTATTTTTTACTTATATTTTCAAGCAATATAACATATTTTTCACAATACTAAAGCCAAGCTTTGTTTTCTTACCAAATAAAAGACATAATGAATACTTCTTTAAGGAAATTCAAAGGAATACTTGTCTTTAACATAGAAATATACATTGGTTATGTCTTTGAATATTAATATGCACTGCCTTTTGTAGAAAACTGGATCACAGTGTACTTTAATATTTTTCAAATAATGCTTACATTCAAATGATGCATTGTAGGTCAATAAGATGTTAGAATCAACAGGTTTTAGAAGAAAGGATTCTCTTTTTCCTATTCTGTAGCTAATGGTAGCTTCATTCAGGTCATATTACATGAAGATATTAATCCCACAAAATATTAATATGTTTTAAACTTATTAAAACATGCTAATGTTTATATGTATGTACACATATATTCAATCACTGCTGCCTAACATTATACTAAAATATTACTTTGTCTATTCTTAATTACAAAAGTTTAATGTGTTATGGAAATTATTTAATTGTAGCTTAAAGAGAGTTGACACCAGGGAACAAATTCCCTACATTTAGTATGGAAAAAAATAACCATAATAATCTTAACAAATACAACTGACCAAGATAATATTAGCAAACTATGCTTTTAGTCAAAGGTGCAAGATTAATGTACTGATGGCATAATCTATGTCTCATTTTACAGTAATGTAACCCCAAGTATTGGACTGCTGGACTAACAATGGCTGTGTTAAAGAAGACAAAATAAACCAAAATAAAAAGTATATTACAATGTCAGGGAGTTTTTTGCAGGGGGGCGGGGAGGGCAGACTAATTTTAGAACAAGTAGAAAGAGTTGATTTTTAAACTGTACTCCAAACAGAGCAGTCATGTTGATTGCTTCCATCCTGGTCGCTCTTATTAGCTCTGCTTTCCTTTTCCTTGATCTCATTTAGAAACGCAAGTCTCATTCTTCAAGTTTAGCTTCCCTGACATCACCGTGCCAGCTCCGGAAAGCATTTGGATTTATTGCAGCCGCTTGATGAATTTGATAATTCCATCTGCATTTTATTGTCTTGTACCAGACCATATAGCAGCTTAACTCGTCCTGTAAACATGAATGCATTGGGCTGCACTTCAGTGTATTCACATAGATAAACCTTTGTCTTATTCCGTGCCAGACACTTGGTGAAGACTTAACGACACTCAGGGCTCAAGGCAGGCACGTTGAACCTTTCTGGAGCTGCTGTCTCTTCTTGCAGCAGAGGAGCTGGAAGACCCAGCACTAATGTGATGTTTAGGTTTCCTCTTTGAAAATTCTTATTTCATTGGTTGCCATAAACTAGCCGCATGCCAGTGGAAAACTGCACTCAAGCATTTTTCCCCCCTTAGGTTTTACTGACAATCACATTTCTTCTGTGTTCCACATTTGAAGCACTAAAATCTTAAGCAATAAAGCTGAGAATTAGGCCAGATAATTGTTTGAAAATACATACTGCAGGGATTAGAGAGAGCAGCAGTTGTGGAAATGAAAGCTATTTATTCTGTATTATTGTGAATTATTTGCATACTGGTGGGGCTTCACAGTCCCCACAGTGGATAGGACTTCTTCCCACCCATCCAGTTACCCATTCCAAAATTTCTGTTCATAGACCTCAAGAACTGGATTCTATTTCCCCAAAGATTGGTTATGCCTTAATAAGAATTGAGAACCATATCCTAGAAATATAATTCAAGAGTAAGAAGCATCTATTATGTGTATTACAAATCTCACAGAAATATAGCAAAGATGTCATTTTTTTCTGCAAGGTTTTGGTTTAAATATAAATGTATAGAGATAGATATTTCAACTGGAGTATTTTTTTCTCTTTCTATTAAGCAGTCTAGGATATGGCTGAATTACTAGTGCTGTTGTTTTTCAAATATACCTTTAAAAGAGGAAAAAAAAGAGACCAGGATCAGCTCTGCACAAAACAATGCATTCTGACATTGATTATGTGATGAAACCTGGAAATGTTTCTGCTTCTCGCAATGCTCTTGTGGAAAGGAAAGGCTTGAACCTCATGCATTTCATCTCACTGTCAGGAAACCAGAAGCTCTTTCAACAGAGCCAAGCTGCTACTAGTGTAAGTCAAGGTTAAACTGAAAGTCATTTTCCACATTAAGACACTAATGCCCAAGACCAGTTAATTTCTGCCCCAAAGTTTGTTTACTGCCTACAGCCCAACTCTGGGTGATGTTATGTTGGAGGTTGGAGTATGAGGAATTCAAGTACAGGCAGCATCATTATTAACAGTTCCATAGCAACCACAGGTCTTTTCCTCAAAACCAAGACTCTGACACGGTAAAACACATTTCAGATGAAATTGGCATTGTGACCTTTGCATCCTGCTTGATCTGGGTGTCCAAATAAAAACTTCTGCAGCCAAAAATCCATTCCTAAAGGGAATAGGCAGTAACTCGCATTATGAAAGGCACATTCTTCTTATTTCTTTTATTTTTTACCATTATATCATGCTACGGTGTTTGAAATTCTAAAATTCTGTTTAACTCTCTACACAAGCTGCCCCAATAAGGAGCCTCACCTTTAACAGAACAGTATGGTGTTCATATATTTAAGCACATTCCACAGTAAAAATCAATGCCTTAAATATTTATAGAGCAATGCAACCATTAGCCCCTTCCGCTTGCTAAATTTCTTACTTTCCAAATCAGTGAGGCACAGCCTGAGGGAAAGAGGATTTTTTCATACCTTGCTCTTTGGGCAAGAGACTCTAATAGGCATCAATAGTTTGTGTCTGCCAAGCACTGTGCTGAGAGTCCCTGGGTGGTGAAAGGTACTTCTCTGCTAAAGGAAATTTAGAGATTCGAGCCTACCCAGAGTGCCTTGGAAGAAAGGCCTGGCAACCTGTCAAAATGGCTATTGAGCGCAGCTTCACTCTTACACACAGGAGGCCGTCATGAGTTGGATGGACTCAATAATAGTTTGGTGACCAGCTAACCACGTGCTAAAAATGGACATTGGCTAATCATGCAGAACCCGATTAGGAAAGGGCTGCTTTGATATCTGTTTTGATAGAGCAGAAAGCTGAGAGTTTGGAGGCTCAGAGCCTCCAAGCAGGCAGATGAAAAGAGGGGCTATGGGACTCACGAACGTGAGTGCAGAGTCCTCACGCATACTAAATGCTCTTCGTTATAATTTAACTCATATTGCATTGAGGGTCACAGAGCGCACGTGACGTGCCCAAATTCACGTAGCTAGTGAGCGGCAGAGGCAGTGTTCCATCCCAGTTGGAAAGTCACGCCCCCACGAAAGCAGGCTTCTAATTCTATCCCACCACGGTGCTTAGTTCTGCACCACTGTCCCAACTCTCTGAGCAGACAGTAGGTCTTCACTTTGAGTCTCCCCTTGACCACAGCACACGCAGAGCTGCTTTTTGTAAATGATTATGACGATAGTTGTGGCAATGCTAAGAAAACACGCAGTACGGGAGAGCCATGGAGCTAGGGTTATTCCGGTTTGCTAAAGCCACACAGAGCTCCCAAGCACCCTGGCATTGTCTCTTGTCAGTAGCTTCAGGGCTCACTATGGGCCAAGGTTTAATAAGGGCAAGCTGTCAACTGGCATCGGCTAATTCAAGGGTGGAACATGAAGTCTGTCTCAAACTCTTTAAGTGAATTTTTATGTCAGACTAGGGAAATCATTATATCCTGACTGGACTCGTCCTCTCACACAGCTGCAAAAACACGAACAAGTGGCAAATCCGCCTTGAGGTAGGGCGCGCGGGGTGAAGGTTCAGGAAGTGAGGTGGTCCATGAGGCTATGGAAAACTAGTCTCTGACTATAGTTCCATTGAAATCTTGTGGCTGTCTTCTTAGGGAAAAAAACAGAAGTAGGTCAAGCAAATGCTAGTGTCTCTTCCATCTCTGTTGGCAAGGAATCAGAGAAAACCCTCGAGGCCGGCCCTCATTCATCAAGCCCTGTGCCACAGGCAGCTACTTTCCCCAAAGGCTTTTGCAGTGGTCCCAACGGAAAACTGCCTGGTGGGCTTGCAGAACAAACTGGTTCAAAGATGATGAAGCAACGGTGGCCACCCAAAGCCCCGGGCTATTGACAGTCCATTCTGACTCCTATCCACCCCCTTAGAGAAGACCTTTCGGTTAGCAGCTGAGCACTTGGTCTGAATTGGAGACAATGTGTCCAGTTGACAGGATCCCCACCTGGAGTCAGCGCCTGTTTTTTAATTTCCACAAAGACAAGGTGTACTCCAGGAGCTTCCCTGAATTAAGCTAAACAGGCAGCTTCTACCCCACTCCAGTTGTCAAATGGGAAATCAGAGCCCAGATTCA